ATTTAAATGGAGGGAACACAGTGCTGCCAACTTGTAAATGGAGATATTGCATGTGTGAGGAATTTGCGATTTGACTTTTGACTCTTAAGTAAAATTTCGCGAGAAACACGATGGTGCCACTGGTTTTCTCTTAAATTAACTCCCAAGCTCAAGAAAAGCTCTCAAGTTGAGGCCAAAATGGAGGGGATATCCCACGCTATCCTGAGAGTCCACCTCTACATCAAAACAAACTCTCCATGCCAAGGTAGGGGGCACATACATTAGCAGGGTTGCCGTGTTTTCAGTTTTGGAGTCCCCAAATCAAGTGGCAGCCCTGTCGATGTATTTGCTCCCTATCTTTGCATGGAGAGTTTGTTTTGATGTAGAGGTGGACTCTCAGGATAGCGTGGGATATCCCCTCCATTTTGGCCTCAACTAGAGAGCTTTTTTTGAACTTGAGAGTTGATTTCAGAGAAAACCAGTGGCACCATCGTGTTTCTCGCAAACTTTTACATAGGAATCAACAGTCAAATCGCAAATTCCTCACACATGCAACATCTCCATTCGTCATGTTGGCTCTCTCTGCGCAGCAAACCGCGCTTTCTCGGTTAGGCTCAGAACCGTTTCATTATACTTTAGGATCTAATGAAGGGAGGAGGTGCAGTTTGAGCCCAATCGTGCGCATCGAGTTAACGTTATTGCCACTGCTGTCCGGCTATGTTGAAAAATCACGATGCTACCGTGCTTCAGAGCGTGGAAACGGACGGGCTGCTCTGTCGAAACGGTAATAAGGGTTTTTGTTGCAGGCGGCGCAATGCGGGGCTCCTCCTTGCTAGGCGGTACCCACGCAACTCGAATGAAAATCTCACGTAGATCCGTCGTTTCTGTTTGCGGTTTGGCGGATCCGCAACGTCTTCCTCGTGGCTGTAAAAAGTAATTGGAATGACTCCATTGGACTTCTCTAAGCAAAAGAACGCGGTTTCGAGAAGAGGCCTTTACTGCGAATCCCCGTGATGCTAGATTTCCTCTCAGAGTGGAAGAACACGGGAGAAAATTTGACCCAAGATCCTTGCGGGCAGCTAGCCAGCGCCTACAAACCTAAGGGCATACTTCACGCATTGCGCAATGCTTGAAGTATCCCCTAAGGTTTGTAGGCGCTGGCCGGCTGCCCGCAACGCTTATCGATAATTACAACTTTCATTTAAAAGAAAAATGGATACTACTATTAGTCTTCATAATGAACTTCCAAATCGAATAAAGGCACGGCAGATATTAGGGCCTTGCGGAAAAAATGCGAAAAATCTGTAAATGGCTAAAGCCTGTTTTACAATTGATGGATTTTTAAATAATTAACTTGTTATTGTAAATTGTACGTTGTTAACCATCTTACATGCATACTAAAACAATTTTTATCGCTCCAACTGCACCAATCCGTACCAAATAAAAAAAAGACAAAAAAAAAGCTTTGAGGTCACCGTCCAAATTAACGATGCAGAAGTTACTCAGTTTAGAACATTGTTACATCGTCAAAGATGACCCGAGGTGTTTCAAGTAACAACAAGACATTAAGAAAGTTAATAACTTACAAATTAATAATACGCATGATTAATTTTAGCAAGCTCCGTCCATTGAGTTTTTGCAATGTCCTACAAATTGTGAAGAAACTCTCCGCAACAATGAACAGACCACCATAAGAACCTAGGTATAAGTTAATTTCATCCAATTTGTACAGCTTGTATTACCAAAAAATTTCAAACTTGAGGCTGGGATGACTATCTACCATTACGTTCGGGATTTCGCCTCTGGGTGAGGGACATTTTCTGTTGAAAGATGTAGGGTTAGCGACAGAGTGGATTATTCCTCCTTCCAATACAAACGAACAATCAATCAAAGGGTTAAGAGGAGGATACACGGCCAAAGCAACCTCTGCTTTGACAGTCTTTTAAGTCTTGGAGTTGATTTCGTACGAAAGCCGTAAAATCATTAAGCTGTTCACTGAATGTAACAGCGACGAAAGTCGAAACAGGTGAAATCACAAATATCGGAATTCTGCAGGCATCTTATGATAGCTAGAAACTTAGTGCTACGGCTTTAGAGATTTTATATTCCAAACCTTGCAGCCTTGCACTAGAGGAGGAAAAACTTATTTCCTGTTATTCCCCAAACTCTTTGTGCGGGTACTAAATTGATCTTCTCCGACTTAAGAGGAATTCCGTGCTAGGACTGCGAAATTGGCGAGAGCTAATATAAAACAGAGTGGCTTCTGATCCGATGTCGATAGACCGCCCGTAGCCCGTAGCTCATGACTTCGAATTATCAAATATCCCTCCAGGAATTTATAGATTCGTTTCAAAGTTTTCCTCGCACACGTCTTTTGTTTAATCGTAAGCGGTGCGTCAAAACGAAATGTTAGCGATCATGCAGGAAATAGGATGCAACACAAAATATATTATGAAGGAATCTCACAAGCAGTATCACAGGAATTTAAAGGTTTCAGAAGATCCAAGCATTCGTAAAAACCACCCAACTCCTAACTAAACGCCATCGGCAATTAGGTGTCTTAGATTCTTCTGTAGATACAGGTGTCCCTGTTTGCAATCATGCAAGGTGAAATTTCCACTACACTCAAACGCTGTTAATCAGGACGGGCCTACCTTCAAAAATTGACAGGAAAGTTGTCGAATCCATCCTAGCCCATTTTCTTGGCTGTTTACCGCCTGTTTTCAGTTTGTGGCGAAGCTGAAGGATAGCATCCCCCCCTCCCCCTGACTCAATGGAGCTCTTGCATGTGTCAACGATATGCAACTTACACTTTAGCACTAGGTAAAATTTTGCGAGAAACACGATGGTGCCTTTCGGGGCCTTAAAAGGGAGCGCCAAAAGTAGGATGAGATTTTTTTGTATTTTATTGCTTCTAGGAATCAAATACATTAGCAGTGCTAAGCGCTGCCATTTTCTTTCACGGCTCCAAAACTGAAACCATGGCAACCCTGCCGATGTATTTGATCCTTATCTGTCTATGCAGGGTTCGGCTGATAGAGATGGACCCTTAGCGAAGCGTGAGGGATCTCCTCCAGCGATCCTCATCCGAATAATACCCAAGGGTCTTGTGGATGATTATGGACAATTTTACGAAGACCGGAGGGCACGTCTATAGAGTTGCTCGCTCAAATGCTTTTCTTCCCATTTTTCATAAAGTCTCATCCTTGCCCCAATAGTTTCTAGTTACATTTTTGGGCATACACTGGCGATTCTTAAAAGTTGGCAACGCTGTTTTTGCTCCATTTCAATGTGTGTAAAACAATCGAATTTTGGTGAAACAGCGCACCTCCTCTAAAATCGATTTGTTTAATGGATCCAAATAGGAGAAAAACAGTATGACGAACTCTCAAAATTTCCACTCGCCATGATTAATAAATTCGGGACATCCTACCGGGAGACCTAGCTCGGAATCTCTAGGCGAGAGGGCAATCTATAATTCGACTACATTTTGCAAATAGGAATTACAATTTCTAGCGCAGTTTAGAAACGATGTAACATATATACTATTTGTTTTCCTATGCACATGAGTATTTTACGGCTGAGCCAGAGATCGATGTTCCCAATTAATCGCTAAATGAAGTCTAATTGCATGCTACAACTACCATACGCCAAAACTAATCGGCAACTTCTTTAAGAAATTAGCGATGTTTATCAGACATGTACAATACTCTGAAAAGTGGCAAGAACTCTCGAATCCAGGTGAACATATTTCTATTTTTAGCGGAGGAAAATTCTGAGAAAGTGCCTCAGAGGCGTATCCAGGGAGCGTGGATGCGGACACCTCCCCTTCCCCCCGGTCGTCCGAAAAAAAGGAGGAAGGAAAAGAGATGGAAGAAAGGAGGAAGAAAGAGAGGGAAGAAGTATTAAAGACGCTTATACAATTGGTAATTATTCATGGCGAAATCGACTCAAACTGCATTTTATATGCTTCAAGAATTTAACAATGGAGATGTTGTACGTGTGAGGAATTTGCGATTTGACTTTTGATTCTTATATAAAAGGTCGCGAGAAACACGATGGCACCTCTGGTTTTCTCTGAAATCAACTCCGAAGATCATAAAAAGCTCTCAAGTTGAGGCCAAAATGGAGGGGATATCCCACGCTATCCTGAGAGTCCACGTTTACATCAAGACAAACTCTCCATGCAAACATAGGGAGCAAATACATTTGTAGTGATTTTCACTTTTAGAGTCCCCAAATAAAGTGGCAGCCCTGTCAATGTATTTGTTCCCTATCTTTGCATGGAGAGTTTGTCTTGATGTAGAGGTGGACTCTCAAGATAGCGTGGGATATCCCCTCCATTTTGGCCTCAGCTTGAGAGCTTTTTTGGAGCTTTGGAGTTGATTTCAGAGAAAACCAGTGGCACCATCATGTTTCTCGCGAACTTTTACGTAAGAATCAACTGTCAAATAGCAAATTCCTCACACTTGCAACATCTCCATTTTCTGAGGGAGGCGGGAGGCCCCCATACCCCCTTGCGCCCCCCTCCTCCCCGTTTGAGGTGTCTTGATCCGCCTATAGTGCCTCACCTAAAATCGATATTTTAAATGGATTACATTTTGCAATAAGGAACCACTATCTCTAGCTCTTCCATAAAATCACGTACCTGTATAGAGAAACTAATAGCATGTATGTTGTTTCTGAAATAGACCAGAAATAGTGGTTCCTTATTGCAAAATGTACTCCAAATGGAGAAAGACAAGTGTTGCCAGCTTTGGAAATCGCCACTGTGGGCATGAGTGCGGAGTGCGTAGAAATGTTTGTAAGGGTGAGGTATATTTGAAATGGAGAAAGACGAGTGTCGCCAGCTTTGAAAATGGCCACTGTGGGCATGAGTGCAGAGTGCGTAGAAATGTTTGTAAGGGTGAGGGATATTTTAAATGGAGAAAGACGAGTGTTGTCAGCTTTGAAAATGGCCACTGTGGGCATGAGTGCGGAGTGCGCGGAAATGTTTTCAAGGGTGAGAGTTGAGGACTTACCACTGTGAGGTTGGACTGGGGCGCGATGCCGTTGGGCTCGGTGCCGGTGAGCTTGGTCTCGACCACGTGGTTGGCCGCGCTCGTCGACGCGGCCCCGTTGGCCGGCTTCGTCGCGTCCAGCAGCACCTTCAGCGACGCGATCGCGTGCAGCTGCGTCGCCTTCTCGTCCACCTTCCCTGCAACCACAAACCAAACAACCCCCATCAAAATTCAGCGCATCTTTCATCATGTCCAAGTCAAAATAGCCGCTAGGAAAACATAGAGTACTTTTATAGACAGACTATGGCCATTCGTATCTTTTTATTACAGGAAAACTGTGCCGCTTCTTGATTTGTCAACGGGTTTTTAGGCTTCATGATGCTCTTACGGACGCAAATAAACAAAAGACGAGATGGCGGCTCACAACATCGATAAGAAGCCATTTGACAGAAATTGCAATTACACGGCAGTAACAATTTAAACAATTTAAAATTAACTGATTGTTAATGTCTTCTACTCCATAGAAAGGTCTTTGTATGTTCTTTCATTTTAAAAAAAAAAAGTTCAACTCGATATCTGCAACCGTTCAAAAGTTATGCTCAAAAGTTGATTTCTCTTTGACCCCCCGCCCCCTCCCCCTGGATGGCTGGATCAAAATCTCCACCATTTTTTAACTTCTGTAACTTTCCTTTACAAAAGGTGAAGGTATGACAAGATTCATTGACATTGATGGATTTTTAAATAATTAACTTCTTATTGTAAATTGTACCTTGTTAAGCATCTTACATGCATACTAAAACAATTTTTATCTTTTCAACTGCACCAATTCGTAAGTTGCTAACGCAGCGAATTAACACCGATGCGATCTACGTTCGATCCTGACGGCTGGTGCCTGATTTCAATGAGGTCGCAGTTTTTCAACACAAAAATTTGGTCGATTTGACACGGGGAAAACCAACACCAAGAAAGTCAACCGACAGCTTGTGTTCCTACGATTTTGGTTTCTATTTCTTACTGTGTAGTGTAAGGAAAATAAGCGAAGAAGGGAAGAAGGTCATTTAATTGCCACTATTTCATAAGGAGTTTTTGTAATCTTTTAACGTAACTACGAAGGTTCTTGGTCCCCGGGGGCTTCCATGAAAATTTTCCACTTTACGTCAATATGGTTACTTTGCTTTACAGCTAATTTCTCATTCTACATTTTTTTTCATTTTCTCATCCAGTATACGAAAAACGTATATTTCTTGATCCCTCGCTTCCTCCAACCCTGTAGTTCTCGTTGATTCTTTGATTAAAGTAACCTTCATCGACCGTTGATGATCTGCTTTTACGTTTTTTTACGTACAACCTTATTATTTTCAGTTTATTTTTCACGATGATGGAGGCGTATCGCAATCTTTAGTCCGGTTCCGCGATGTTTATAATTGCGAACAGTTTTCTTAAAAATGGAAACCGGGAATCTTCAGTGACTGTGCAAAATACTGTACTGAAGGCGAACTGGCAATGCTGCGCCTTACACGGTGGTTGGCAAGGGAGTAAACTTTGATTTGCATGTCGTGTGCAAATTTACCACTCCTGCACTTTATCATTGGCCGAGTTTGATTTCGCCAGACGTTTTATTGGCCACAGTTGTCTCTTTTCATGGAAATAAACATTTTAAAGATAACATTTGTACTCGTGGTTTTCCAGTCAGTTGAATTTTTACGACAAAAATGGAGAAACGGGCTTCTAAAATTGTGGCTCCTGACTATTAAAATAAAATTTCAAACATGAGGACAAAAAAGTAAGCGACTGTAAACATCACGCTAAACTGCATAAAGTGGAGGATACTGTAATTTGTAAAAACTTAGTAGGTTATATAAGTACAGCGAAGCCAATAGTCGCGCAGTTGATATGACTGTGTATATGTATAGAAATTCACGTGTGATGATTTTCTATTATGCAGTTTTGAAACAGTAATTCAAGTGAGAGAAGAGGGAGAAAAATAAGAAGAAGAAGAAAAGAAAAAGAAGAACGATTTTGAATGTTATTTCACGTGAAACCTTTCTAGTAGTATACGGACTTTATGTATAATTTTATGTTGCATCCAAATTAAAGGAAGCGTGAATCAAGTTTACATCATCGGGAGATAATCCTTGCAAATAAAACATTGATAAAATCAAATATCCTCTGAGTCTGAGTGCAATCTCGCCTAATGAACTCGGGGCAGAAGGATTTTGCCATCCAGTCTGTCCTGCTGCGGATCAAAGCGCCTTCAATTGCGCAAAATACCACAGTGTGTTACTTGAAAGTTAAAATAGTTGCATCAGAGAACCAACCCAATTTAAGCGTTGGTTGTAGCAAGGACTATTCTCGGTTGGGGTTTTAGAATCTTCACTTCTAATTTATATTTTAGAGATGGAAATTATTGGGTCGATTCCTTGAAATTTTTCTTTTAGAGCATTGTAAAATCATAAAAATACTCAGAAAAATTTCAAAATATCTAACATAAATTTTTTTTGTCCCTACGGATGAGAAGTTTCTGAGACACGAAAACTGAGGTGTGCCTTTTCTTCACCCAAATGCAATGCAATTACCCAACTTGACGACTCATTATATAAACTTAGTCAATAGAGACAAATCTTTGTTTATTAATGACGGTATCTCGGTTCTGTCATTAAGTGCTTTTTTTGGCATCATGTGCTAAAAAAATGCCTTTCATGGCTAAATGTGCTCAAAAAGTGCCTCTTTTGGGGCAGAAAATGCCCGAAAAGTTCTCGTCCATTCTCTTTTGATGCTACTGACGATTGTGTAATGTGGCAACTCCTAGACAATCCTCTTGTTCCTCGGCGATCGCCTCTCCGGATCAGTGGCGTGGCGTGCTTTGCGATACATCGATTGATCTGCCATTTAAACCTATGGAAAAGATCGATACACTGAGTGTTCTTAACGAACACCTTAATAATCGATTCTTTGCCGTAGATTCAAATAGGAAAATATCGATAATCGATCATTCACGCTTCGCCACTGCTCCGGATGAGCTGCACGCAATCCTATTTCTCACGTCCGATTTACAGATCGTATCTTCATCATCGTCTTGCCCAGAGGGACTCTACCTTTGTTTCGATCTCTCCTACCTTGTTAGGTATCGCGAGTGTCCAAATTGGAGTGCGCTATCCAATTTTTGGCGCGAGAATGAAAATATCAGGAAATTGCAAGTAACATTGAACAGGTTCGTTGCTTGTGTTAGAGTATCGAATTTTCGACCATATCCACAGGGAGAAATAATCATGTGAACTCTTCCAATACCAATACGGAAAAAAAAAAGCGGTGCTATACTACAATACTTATGTTGGATTCAAGATCAAATTCTTTTTTCGTCGTAATTATAATGACCACTCCTATGAGTGCTGGTCATTTTCCTTATTTCAGTTTACAACAAGTTTTCATAATATTTTTTCTCCTACTCGCTTTTCGTCCCACTACAATAAGTCCGACAAACGAGATATCCTACTGGTTTTTCCCCTAATAGTATTTCGGCGGCGTAAGTCCGCAATCACATGTCTCGTTGTCTCGGTGTCTGAAAATCTCTGCCTCTATGATATTTTTTAAGGGAGATAAAATTGACATCATTCTTTAAAGTTTTTGCAGATTTTTCTACACTCAGAGAAGAAAAATCACGGCAGTTTTGGATTGCCATTGAGTAGTTTTCCGTTTAAAAAATTAAGTATGACAGGAAGTGTGCGACGTCGCAAACCGAGTTATGTGATTGCCGACTTACACCGTCGATGGGCATGTTTGTTAAGTCGACATTTTATGTAACGGACATTTAAAAGAGGACAGTACCGCACAGTGGGTATTTTTTATCGGTCATTTTCATGGTTCACTGGACATTTTCACCTGTCACCATACCGGTCGAATGGAGATGTTGCATGTGTGAGGAGTTTGCGATTTGACTGTTGATTCTTACGTAAAAGTTCGCGAGAAACACGATGGAGCCACTGGTTTTCTCTGAAATCAACTCCCAAGCTCATAAAAAGCTCTCAAGTTGGGGCCAAAATGGAGGGGATATCCCACGCTATCCTGAGAGTCCACCTCTACATCAAGACAAACTTTCCATGCAAAGATTAGGGAGCAAATACACTGACAGGGCTCCCACTTTATTTAGGGACTCCAAAACTGAAAACACGGCATCACTATGCTAATGTATTTGCTCCCTATCTTTGCATGGAGAGTTTGTCTTGATGTAGACGTGGACTCTCAGGGTAGCGTGAGATATCCCCTCCATTTTGGCCTCAACTTAAGAGCTTTTTTTGAGTTTGGGAGTTGATTTCAGAGAAAACCAGTGGCTACATCGTGTTTCTTGCGGACTTTTACATAGGAATCTACAGTCAAATCGGAAATTCTTCACACATGCAAGACCTCCATTGTGTTAATGACATTGGTAAAATTGTCTACTGTGGGCATTTTCATGGGTACATTTCATTCCAGCGCTATGGACATTAGATAAAATGGGTATTTTTGTTAAGTTAACATTTTATGTAACGGACATTTATAAGGGGATATTACGACAGTAGGTATTTTGTATTGGACATTTTCATAGTTGGACATTTTCACCTGTCACCATACGAATAGAATCGCTGTATTTTCTCACTGTATCTTTATCGATCCCTTTGTGTATCAATGTCGATAATCAGCCCACAGAGGAGTGCAATGCATTTTGTTCCTCTCTGTCGGACTCGGCGCAGTGAGCGCGGAAACGACCGGCGTCCTTTAATGCACTCTGACAGGAGCAATCACGTTACGGACGAATTCCGCGGTGAGCTCGAAAAAAATAAGGGTCTTCGAGTGCGACGCGAGGGGGGAGGGGGTAAAGGGTTGAGGGGATCGGAGGAGATGGAGGGATGGAGTGTTGTGGCACAGCGGGCTTAATCTACAGGAGCATATACGCGGAAGGTATCATTAGAGCGGGTTTAGTATTTACCGTCTCGCTGTCTTGAACTACGCTCACCGGACGTTACGGAAGTATAACGCTCCGTCCTTCCAGCGGGCGGGTGGCGGAAAAAACTTCCTGAAGTTGATGAACCGTAAAACCAGTCCGTTTGACCATTCATTCGCGCGAGGAGAGGGTAAAAAACGCCATCGAGTCCCTGCGTTGTGAAGCTTCTGCCGTTGTTTAATTTTTATCAAGACTGTCAGTTGAAGAGTGGGAATGGAC